AAACTAGGGGACAGTGGGTGTGGCTTAGATAATAAACTAGGTGACAGTGGGTGTGGCTTAGATAAGAAACTAGGGGACAGTGGGTGTGGCTTAAATAAGAAACTATGGGGCAGTGGGTGTGGCTTAGATAAGAAAGTATGGGTAGTGAGTGTGGCTTAGATAAGAAACTGTGGGACAGTGGGTGTGGCTTAGATAAGAAAGTATGGGTAGTGAGTGTGGCTTAGATAAGAAACTGTGGGACAGTGGGTGTGGCTTAGATAAGAAAGTATGGGTAGTGGGTGTGGCTTAGATAAGACTATGGGTAGTGAGTGTGGCTTAGATAAGAAACTGTGGGACAGTGGGTGTGGCTTAGATAAGAAACTAGGGGTAGTGGGTGTGGTTTAGTATAGACGTGTGGGTGTGGTCTATAGTGGGCGGGACATTAGAACATCCCACACCTAACTTGAGTTCATGCTCAGTCCAGCAGCTACTAATCTGATATGGATGTTCATGGTTATAGAAAGTAAAGCATCTTGATGTACACAAGCAGTCAAAAGTTTTTGAACAGTAAGATTTTTAATGTTTTTTAAAGAAGTCTCTTCTGCTCACCAGTCCTGCATCTATTTGATCAGAAATGCTGGAAAAGCAGTAATATTATATAATGTTTACTATTTAAAACAGCTGTTTTCTATGTGAATATCTGTTAAACTGTAATGTATTTCTGTGATGCGCAGCTGTATTTTCAGCATCATTACTCCAGTCTTCAGTGTCACATGATCTTCAGAAATCATTCTAATATGCTGCTTTGCTGCTCAAGAAACATTTCTGATTATTATCAATGTTGAAAACAGCTGAGTAGAATTTTTTCAGGTTTCTTTGATGAATAGAAAGTTCAGAAGAACAGCATTTATCTGAAATAGAAATATTTTGTAACATTATAAATGTCTTTATCATCAATTTTAATAAATTTAAAGCATCCTTGCTGAATAAAAGTAATAATCGCTGTAATTTCTCACCCCCCCCTTTCTATTTCAGATCAATTCTGATCTTTGGAACTTTCTATTCATCAAAGAATCCTGAAAATAAATTTACTCAGCTGTTTTCAGCATTGATAATAATCAGAAATGTTTCTTGAGCAGCAAATCAGCATATTATACTGATTTCTGAAGATCATGTGACACTGAAGACTGGAGTAATGATGCTGAAAATACAGCTGCACATCACAGAAATACATTACAGTTTAACAGAGATTCACATAGAAAACAGCTGTTTTAAATAGTAAACATATTTCACAATATTACTGCTTTTGCTGTATTTCTGATCAAATAACTGCAGGCTTGACGAGCAGAAGATAATTCTTTAAAAAACATGAAAAAACTTGCTGTTCAAAAATTTTTGACTGCTTGTGTACGTCTGTTTTTAGGTGTAGAATTAAAATACAAAATCATTTTATAAAGTCACATTAAATTAACTGTTTTTAATTTTTTAAGGGAGGAGAACAGGTGATTGTTTGCAGCTGAAGAGTCCTTTACTAGCGCCACCTGCTGCTTCAGAGAAATAAACAGGTGTTGCGTGTGAATAATAATGTAGTATGATAATGAGTCGTTTTGAGAAAACATACCACATGCAACCCAACTGTTCTTAGCAAATCTTTACGTAACAAGGAAACATACTTCAATGCATTATAATTATATATTATATATATATATCATAGTTCAGATGCAACTTTTTTTCCCTGCATTCACAAACATTATCATGCTGGATAATTAGTGCAATTATTAAAGCTGCGCAAAATAGAAAATGGCATAAAACCTATAGTTTAACTTAGCGATTAAGTCTAGTTTTCCAGTGCAAATGTCTAAAGATTCTTCAATCTGGAGAACCTAAATGACAGAAGATAAGAAGTAAAACTGATCGAAATTAAGTGAGTTTATGATTAAAACAATATTTTATACTCATATTTTCATTCCTGTTCCGTTATGATTGAATAGAGTTGATAGTGTTTCTAAATGTTTCAGTTTATTTGCCAGTATTTAAAAAAAAAAATCTGAATGTAATAGAATTGAACTTACACACTGATGGGACTTATTTGCAGTGGTGGACAGTAACAGAGTAGCTTTACTTCGTAGAAGAAAATAAATCATTATGAAAATATAATGATATTTTCCTTAAAATGTTCTTCCTAACTTCAGGCCTTATTCTCATGTCGTATATAACTTTAAAACACTTTTTTCTTACTGGTGTAAATCAGATGGTCAGATCTGTTTTCTCTCAGGTACATCAGTGTAAGCTTCACAGTGAACATGTAGTAACATCACTCTCGTCAACGTAGTCAATATCAACAACACAAATATATCTTGACTCCATGTAGTGGTTATTTTGGGAAAATCCCAGGTATTTTGAGCAGTAGAATTATAACAAATATGTGCTAATATAAATTTAAATCAAGTAGCCTATATAAAATTGCAAAATAAATCTATCTATCAGTACTTTTTTACTTAAGTACATAAAAAATCGAGTACTTTTGTACTTTCACTCGAGTAAAATTGAAAAAGGAGTACTTTTACTTTTACTGGAGTACTATTTTATTATACGTATCTGTACTTTTACTCAAGTACTTCGTCCACCACTGCTTATTTGTGTGTTTTTCCTCTCAATAATGCGTTTTATGACTCTGTGTAACTTCTACATATTACATACTACAAATTACTAGTAACATGTTACAAAAAAATTAAAAGGGGGAAAGAAACATTTAGTTAAACATGAAGTTTTAACGTAGAAATTTTCATGTATTTTAATGAAAAACATACACCAATAATCTTCACACAAAAAACAACAATTTTTACAGTGTAGACAGGTGCAATTTATTTTCCAGAAAATATGATTGATAGAATTAATGATTAATGATTAATAAATTGATAATAATTTAATCAAGTTTATGAATTTAATAAAAAAATATTTTATAAATAGAAAATATGATTGATAGAATAAAGAATAAATAATTACTGATTAATAAA